AGGTTTGGGGGGGGGTCCAGGGAGAGGGTTAGGGGTGCGGGGGGGGTCTGGGGTCCCCCCCTCGTCAGTGGGAGTCGTTCTTGATGACGATCTCCAGTCCGTGCTGGCGCAGCTGAGCCCGTAGCAGCAGGTTCTTGTTCTTCAGGTCCTCCACCTGAATTTGGGAGGGGTCTAGGGGGGGTCAGAGATCCCAAAATACCCACCCGGAACCCCAAAATAACCCTCCCACCCCAAAATACCCCCCAGAGCCCTCCCAGTTTCCCCCAGTGCCCCCAGTCCGACCTGCCGCCGCAGTCCCTCATTGTCCACCGGGAGCTGCTCCTGCCCTCCCACTGTTCCCAGTTCCCTCCCATTGCTCCCAGCTCCACTCCCAGCACCTCCCACTGTTCCCAGTCTCTCCCAGTGCCCTCCCGTTCCCTCCCAGCCCCCCCAGTGCCCCCAGTCGGACCTGCTGCCGCAGCACCTCGTTGTCGAGCTGCAGCTGGTCCAGGCCCTGCAGCTCCTCGGAGAGCCGGAGGTTGCTCTGCCGCAGCTCCTGGATGTAGTCGCAGGCCTTGGACAGGATCCCGCCCTTGCTCTGGAAATTCGGGAATTCCGGGGGTCAGGGGGGCTGGGGGGGGGGCCAAAACCGCCCCCCTGGGGGAGGGGAAGGGGCACGGACCTGCCCGGATTTGGTATTTTCCATGGAACAGTCGGGAATGATCTTGGAGAGTTGGACGATCCAGTTGTTGATCTTGTCCCGGCGCCGGCGCTCCACTGGGAACGGGGGAAAACAACAGGATTTGGGATCTCCCTGGATTTGGGATTCCCCTGGATTTGGGATCCCCCTGGATTTGGGGTCCCTCCCTGGTACCTTCATTGTGCTGTGCCCGACGTTTCTCATCCCGGGTGGCTCTTGGAGCCTCCGATTTCCTGCGGAAAAGGGGGTGGGAAGGGGCCACGTGGGGCCAAGTGTGCCCAGGTGTGTCCCCAGGTGTGCCCGGGTGCGTCCCAGGTGTGTCCCCAGGTGTGCCCAAATGTGTCCCAGATGTCCCCAGGTGTATCCCAGATGTCCCCAGGTGCATCCCAGGTGTATCCAGGTGTTTCCAGATGTGCCCCAGGCGTCCCCAGGTATATCCAGATGTGTCCCAGGTGTATCCAGGCATGCCCCACGCGCCCCAGGTGTGCCCAGATGTGCCCAGGTGTGTCCCAGGTACTCACGGGGAGTAGGGGTGGGCACGGGGGGCGATGGAACGTTGGGCTCCCCCCGGGAGCACTTCCTGTGGTGACATCATCACAAAAAACTGCCCTGGGGACCCAAAACAGACAGGTGAGACCCAAATGGCACAGGTGAGACCCAAAAATGGAACCCCAAACCCTCTCCAGGTGACTCCAAACCCCCTGCAGGTGCCCCTCGTACCTGTGGGCGTGGGCTGCCCCAGCAGCCCCTCGGAGCTCTGGGTGGTGACCACGGCGGTGGCCGCGGTGGCCGCGGTGCCCCCCGAGCCCCCGTCGGCCACGCCCGCAGGGAAGTAGGTGTAGTGGGTCTCGGTGGGCGTGGCCTCCGTCTCCACCCCCTCCTCGCTCGTGAAGGCGCCCTGGATCACGGCCTGGGGACAGGTGACACAGGTGAGGGACAGGGGGAGAACACAGGGGGGACACAGGCGAGACAGGTAGGAGAAGAGCCTCAGATGAGACAGGTGAGGCAGGTGGGACCCAGGGGAGACCAAGAGGTAAGTGGGACACAGTGGGGATGTGGGTAAGACAGATGGGACACAGGTGGGACACAGAACACAGATGGAACAGGTGGGGGACATGGGTGGCACACGGGTGGCACAGGTGAGCAGGGGGTGCTTGGGTGTGGCTGGGGCTCACCTGTGTCATGGACTGAGCCGCTGGGTACCCGCTGATGGCGCTGGTGCCCTCGGTCTGCGCGTCCAGCTGCCCGTCAGCCACCTGGATCACCCGGTACATCACCTGCCACAGGTGAGACAGGTGAGACACAGACCCGCCCCAGGTGTCCATCACCACCTGCACCACCCCGTACAACACTTGGCACAGGTGTGCCCAGGTGTGCCATAGCTGTGTGCCCTCACCCTCAGTGCCCCAGGTGTGCCATACCTGCGTGCCCCCCCTCCCTCAGTGCCCAGGTGCTCTCACCTGCGTGCCCCCGCCCTCGGTCCTGAACACATACTTGACGCCGGGGTCGGGGAAGGTGGCGGCCGATTGGATGCTGGCGATGGCCACGCTCGTGGGGTCCTCCCCGGTGGCCACCGACCCTGGGGGGGCAACCAGTGAGGGGGGCACCCAAAGTGGGGGGACACTGGGGAGGGGGGCAATGTGGGGGGGAGGAAGGGGGTACCACACTCCCATAGCCCCCCCAAGAACCTTCCAGCCCCCCACAACCCCCCCAAATCTCCCCCATAATTCCCCAAA